TCATCATCATCATCATCATCATCATCATCATCATCATCATCATCATCATCATCATCATCATCATCATCATCATCATCATCATCATCATCATCATCATCATCATCATCATCATCATCAGGTGCACGATGGCGAAGCTGTACGCTACGTCCCGGACCCCGGCGGTTGCCAGACCATCCTGCACATGGGCGACCAGAAGAGCCATGAGCAGGTGTGCGGGTACGCGAAGATTGTGTGCCCAAACAGCAGTCGTTGCGGCCCTGTTCTCCGCAAGGATCTCGTGAGGCACCTGGACCAGTGCCAGCACCACAAGTGCCCATACCACCAGCAGGGCTGTCCGGTACGCAGCCCATGGCAATCTCGTTTGCTGCAATATGGTGTCCCTTGTCTGTGTGTGTGTGCACATGTGTGTGCACATGTGTGTGTGTACACGTACGTGTGTGTGTGTGCGGTTATGTGCTGCACTTCCAACCCCGTCCTCGTTGAACAACTCATTTTACTCCTCTCCTCCTACACACTGCACTACACGTCTCACTGCTCTTCGTACGTCGCCAGTTCACGGGGAGCAAGGCCGACGTGCAGCACCACTCTGCCAGCTGCGAATATCGCGAAAGCACAGACGCCACTGCCATTGTCGTTCGCCAATTGCAGGCGCAATTGGCAAGCAAGGATGCGGAGATTGATGAGCTGAAGCGCTCTGTTGCGCAACTCACAGACCGCCTCGCCTTTGTGGAGCAAGCATTCAGGCAGCATGAGAGTACGTCGTGGTGGTGGTCGTCGTGGTGCGTGCGTGCATGTGTGTGTGTGCGTGTGTGTGCGTGTGCATGTGCATGCGCCTGTGCATGCGCCTGTGCATATGGTGGCTTGCGTGCTTGTGCACTTGTGTAAATCAAGGTGCAAACGATTTCATTTTATAGCCATGTGACCACCACCACCACCACCACCACCATGGCCACCAATATCATCACCACCTTTACCACCAGTGTCGACTGCGCTGTCGCTGGAGCGAATTGCATCAGACGTCTCCGATTCCCGCAGAGCAATTGCAGACAACACCGTCAGTCCACTCATACATGCACCCCATCCCTCTGCTCTACTCGCATGCATCTTCGTGTGCGTGTGTGAGTGTGTATGTATGTGTATGTGTGACCGTTGTTTGCACTTGCGTGCGTGGTTGCTTACACGTGTGGTTGTGTTTGTTTGTGGACTTCAGCGAGACTTGTCGACGATTCAAGCAAAGCTCGGCATCGTGGAAGGTGGGGGCGATGGACATGAGGGCAGCACATGCGGCGCCATGTTTGGCCATCACACAATACAACGCAGCACATCTCAACACGCAACACACACACACAAGCACGCACACACACGCACGCACACACACACACACACACACACACGCACACACACACACACACACAAAGCACAGTATGCGCATGCCGGTGCCGACGTACGTGCCTTGACTCATGCCCTGTGTGCCTGGTTGCGTCTGCGTTGATGTGATGTCACAGAGAGCGGGCTGATCAACCAATCGCACAAGTACAAATGCCAGGGCACCTTCGTTGGACACCAAGTGAGCCGCTGGTGCTACCTTTGACATGGCTTATGTCTTGAATGCACGAAGCGAGCGCACATTCACGACCCTGTCACACAATCCGTTCATCACCATTCACCAGTCACCGCCACTAACCACCACCACCCATACACCGTCACCACCGTCAAGGGTCCCGTGTGGGCGCTGGCGGCGCACGGCGACATGCTCTTCAGCGGATCGTCGGACGAAACAATCAAGGTGCACTCGCAAGCCGTTCACATGCACACACACACATGCATACACATGCATACACACATGCACGCACATGCGCACACATGCACGACGCTGCGCGTGTACCTGTACTTTGCGTATGTTTCCCTCGTTGCCACCTTGTTCTCATGCCCTGTTGACTGTGTGTGTGTGTGTGTGTGTGTGTGTGTGTGTGTGTGTGTGTGTGTGTGTGTGTGTGTGTGTGTGTGTGTCACAGGTGTGGGACACTGCGTCGAGCTTCACGTGCAAGCGCACACTGCAGGGACATCGCGGCACCATCCACACGCTCGTCGTCCACGGGTAAACACGCAAACTCGAATTTCCGGCCCTTGTGTGTGTGTGTGTGTGTGTGTGTGTGTGTATGTGTGTGTGTGTGTGTGTGTATGTGTGTGTGTGTGTGTGTGTGTGTGTGTGCTGTGGCAACATACAACCGCATGCCGACACATGCTGACCTACTCACCTTCAACCACACACGTTGCCGGCTTCAGGCACAAGCTCTTCAGTGGCTCCTCAGACAAAACGATCCAGGTTTGCTGCACCATGAACGATGATGTGAACCATCACATGCTCTTGTCTGAGAATTGGTTAGACATGTCATCCATCTGCCCCCCCCCCACATTTGCTCACACCCGCAACGTCAACACATGGACATGAATCTATGATGTTCCCCCACGCTAACCAACACGTGCGTGTGTTTGTGTCTGTTTGTGTTTGTACGTGTGTGTGTGTGTACGTGTGTGCGTGCATGCATCAGGTGTGGGACATTGACACGTTTGAGCTTCTAGACACGATTGACAAGCACGACGAGCCCGTGTGCACGCTCGCCGTCGCTGGCGACGTCCTTCTCAGCGGCTCCCTCAAAGTCATAAAGGTGTGACCATGGACCTGTGCCCAGGCAATGTTGGGCACGCAAAAGTGTGTGTATATGTGTATGCATGTGTGCATGTGTGTATGTGTGTCCATGTGAATCTAACCCTCACGCTGAGTGTTGCCCACTCCTTCCTCCTCCCTCTCTCCTCCCCTGCAGATGTGGGATCTGCACACCCACGAGTATCTTGGTCAGATCCAGGACCTCAACCACTGGGTGCGCGCAATGGTGGTCGACGAGCAGTATCTCTACGCCGGCTCCTACCAGACCGTATCGGTGAGCACACATATGTGGCTGTTTGTTTGTTTGTTTGTTTGTGTGTGTGTGTGTGTGCAGTGTGTGTGTGTGTGTGTGCGCGGTGTGTAGTGTGTGTGTGTGTGTGCAGTGTGTGTGTGTGTGTGTGCAGTGTGTATGTGTGTGTGTGTGCAGTGTGCAGTGTGTATGTGTGTGTTTGTGCAGTGTCTGACCACTACCACCATCATCACCACGGCTTGTGGCAGGTGTGGCCGGCGACGCGTCGCGGCCTCGGACTGGACGGCGAACCCGCACAGCGCGTGCAGGTCCTCCACTCCCCGGTACGTGCACACACGCACACATACACGCGCGTACACGCATGCACCCATGAGCACGCACACATGCACAGCACACGAGTATACATACACAGATACACACACACATGCACAGACACACACGCGCGCGCACACGCACACATGCACGCATGAACGCCTTCAGGACTCACATGTGTGCTTGGGCTGTGAGCAGGAAGGTGGGAGTGTGTATTCCCTGGCAGTGTCGGCAGATTACATCATTGCGGGAACCTTTGAGAACCTTATTCACGTCTGGAACAAGGAGTACACAAAGGTGGAGACACTCACAGGTGCGTTGCCCACTGCCCATGGAGTGTCGCTTCGTGCGTGCGAGCGTGTGCACTTGTGCGTGTTGTGCTGTGTTTGTCATCGCGTTTCCTCGTTCCATTCGAGTGCGCTCCGAGCAACTCGAGTCGCTGCACTGCTTCCACTTCCACTTCCACCTCAAATCTCTTTGGTTCTCACACCCGGCCACACCCCCCCCCCCAACGACAACGACAACAACAACAACAACAACAACAACAACAACAACAACAACAACAACAACAACAACAACAACAACAACAACAACAACAACAACAACAACAACAACAACCATCACCAACGTCACAGGGCACCACGGAACGGTGTTTGGACTGACGGTGATGCACGATGGACAGAACAAAGGACGCCTGTTCTCCACCGCTTACGACAGAACCATCAAGGTGCCTTCAACATTCACATGTCGTTGTCTGTATATCTGGCACTTTGTATGATAAACGAGCCCAGCCTGCATCCCTGCCGTTTCTTTGTCAACCACCCTGTGCAATGGCTTCCCCCTTTGTTACCATCACTTGCCCCTCGCTCCACACACACACACACACACACACACACACACACACACACACACACACACACACACACACACACACACACACACACGCACACACACACACGCCCCTCTCACCCTGTCTGTGCATTGTCTCTGTTAGGTGTGGAGTCTGGACACGTTCCAGTGTCTGCAGACGCTCTCGCGCCACACGCACAGCGTGGACTGCATCGTCATCCACAAAGGCCGCATCTTCACCGGCGCCGCCGACAGCGCTGTCAAGGTCCCGTGATGTGATGTGTTCGTTGGTTTGTTCGCGCGCGTGTGTGTGCTGTGTGTTCGTTTGTGTGTGATGTAATATGTGTGCGTGCGTGCGTGCGCGCGCGCGCGCGTGTGTGTGTGTGTGTGTGCGTGCGTGTGTGTGTGTGTGTCGTTCTTCTGCATACACTGCATCAGACGAGATTCCAAAGTGAGTTCTTGCATTTAATTCACATCAGCAGTTCAACAACGTGCACGTGTATATGATGTTACACATTCTGCAGGTCTGGCAGTAACGCGCACCAGCACGCGGATAACAGACAGCCAATTCATGTTCTTTCCTTCCTCTTCTCCTCTGTACCCCCTCCCCTTGGTTTCTTCTCTAAATGGCCTTTGATCTCCACGGTACGTCGACCCAGCCAGCATCATCCTCATCATCGCTGCTGTCGCTGCTTGTGCTGCCTCCCTTCCCTTCTCCCTTCTTCTTGTTCTTCCTTTCACCCTCTTCTTTCTTCTGCCTCTCCAGTTGTCGCTGCTTCTTCTCTTCGAGCGCCTGTGTACATGTCCACGTGAGGGTTGGTTGGTGAGCGTGAGGGAGCGAGTGAGTGTGTGTACGTTAGCGCGCGCGGATGTATGTGTTTGCATATGTGTGTATACGCATGTATACACGTGTGTACTGTGTGTGTCATGTGCTTGAGCGCCTCGATCCGTGTCTGTACATTTGCCTGTGTGTACATAGTCATTTCACGCGCGCGCAATGTGCGGTGATGGGGCAGCAGTGAGTACCTTTGCCTTTCGCTGTTTTAGCTGTTCCACTTTGCTGAGCAGTTGCCTGTGTGTGTGTGTGTGTGTGTGTGTGTGTGTGTGTGTGTGTGTGTGTGTGTGTGTGTGTGTGTGTGTGTGTGTGTGTGTGTGTGTGTGTGTGTGTGTGTGAGCATCAGTTGTGACTAGCAGTGCTAATAATATGCGACTGAGTAAACATATGGCGATGGCACAGAACCCGTCGCACAACTGTGAGTATGCACGTTGATGCGCACGGGGGGATGGGCCGAGGCAAGCACGCGCACACACATTTACGCGCGCATACAGACACACACACACATACACATTTACGCGCGCACACAGACATACACACACAGACATACATACAAACACATTCACACATTTACGCGCACACGAAAAGTGTAATGCGACCTTTGTTCCTGTTCTTCATCAAGCAGACGGTTGATGGTCGCTTTCTCTGCATCTTCCTCAATGATAGCAGTTGATTCCTGCACCCCGCACACAGGGCAGACAGAGGAAGTGATGTGGGTAGAGGCCGACAGCGGGGGAGCACGGTACTATGTACACGCAAGCACTACAGACAAAGCAATCACTTGTCCCGATGCAGGCTTCCAGCTGCATTATTGTTGCCTGTACCTGTTCTGTCGCTGTCATCTCGCGTTGAAACGCCTGCCACTCTTCCTCAGCTTTGTTGGTCACCGGTACTTGGCGCGCCTGATGTAGGTATCGTGCGCATGGGAATGAGGCAAGAAATGCGTTGGGTGCGTGCGCTAAGCATACGTGTGTGTGAGTTGTGCATGTGTGTGCGTGTGTATGTGTGTGTATGTTTGTGTGTGTGTGTGTGTGTTGCAACAGTTTCATGCGTGATTGAAATGGTGCAGCTGTTGATTTCACGATGAGCACCGCCGCACCTTTGCATCTTTGCGCTCATCGTCGAAGAAGCCTTTTGGCAAGCTGCTGCTCGTCTTTGCCTTCTTACTGCTTGGTCCCGACGACGAAGCCTGCGCAGACGATGCTGGGCTTGCCATCATCGCATCTCTAAACGACCTGCTCATTCTTCGCCCTTCTGCGTGTGTGTGTGTAAATGTACGTGTATGTATGTACGAGAGAGTGTTCGGAGGGGAGTGCGGAGTGTTGGTGGTGGTGTTTGCTTGGCCTTGCTGTCTCGTGACTTGCTTGCTGTCTTGTGTTTGCTTTGCTGTGTGTTGTTGGTGTTGCTTGTCCGCTGCTGTTGTCGTTCGCTCGTCGCAGGGATGAGGCGTTTACTGAAATTCACATAAAATCATTCACTAATTATCGGCAATGCAAGGTGAGTCGTGCGTCATCATGGTGGGTGCTGGTGGGTGTGGTGTGGGGAGAGTGACCACACCATGTTCATGTTCATGTTCATGTTGCTGGTGTTGATGTTGGATGGTGAGGACAGATGACGGTGCTGCCGTTCGAGCTGTTGCTGTTGAGGCCACGGTTGTCATGTAATGGGGACGCTTAAGTACAGGCCCCACACCTTCTTCAACCATTGTCTGCTGCTGCTGCTGCTGTTGTTGTTGTTGTTGTTGTTGTTGTTGTTGTTGTTGTTGGTGTTGTTGTTGTTGTTGTTGTTGTTGTTGTGTTTTGCGTTGCCTTTTGGCCTTTCGCTTCTGCCGCTGTCGCGCTGCCTGCTTCTCGCTCTTTGCCTTTCGCTCGTGCGCAGGCTTCTTCCAATAGTCAAACTGGCTGCTGATGACGCCGTAGATGCGCTTGCACAGGTCGTCCTTGCCGAACCGCAGCCATGCGTTGCCTTGTGCAGGTATCGCCAGCTGCTCAAACGCCGCCTTGACCACGGTCGGCCATTCTGGTGTGGCATCCAAGGCGCAGGCAACAGACACAAACGCAAGCGCGAAAACGGCGTGCGGGTGAGCCTCCGATCGGCAAGTACACATGGTGCACACGCAGACACGATTGCACACACACACACACACACACACACACACACACACACACACACACACACACACACACACACACACACAAACACACAGAAACACACAGAAACACACAGAAACACACACAGCGCACACAAACATAAACAAATTGTGCACGAACCCGCTTTCTTGTGCTGTCCCCGCTCGAAGCAGATGTCGTGGGCCTTGAGTTGCTCCTTGACAACCTGGCGCAGTTGCGCGCGAAGTTTGCTCGTCAGGACAGCACAGGTCTCCCCGCCATACCCACCGTGTGCGCTGCACCATGTACGCGTCCCCGCCGTGATGGGGGGCATCGTGGTGGCTGGGCATGGCACGACAGGGCTTGGTGCAGTCATCATATTGCCGGTCGCGGGTGTCGCATGATGTGCACGAGCAGCAGAAGCAGCAGCGGCAGCGGCAGCGGTGGCAGGATGGCTGACATCACTGATGCCACGCGTCGTGCACGCGAGACACTGAGAATGCGGAGCATGGTGGTGGTGGTGCTGTGGTGGCCGATGGGGATGGTCGCTGTTGTCAATGCCTACGTCATCATGGCCGGTGCTTGCGTGTGCGTGTGCGGCGGCAAACGCTGCAGCTGGTGCTGGCACTGCATCGTGCTGGTGATGATGATGATGGTGGTGAGTGTCATGGGCATGGTCGTGGCAGCAGCGGGCTTGGTGGTGTGTGTCCAAACCCAACGCCACCATGACGTCTGTCAGCACGTGCGCATGGATGTCGCGCGCCATGTCCTGCACGTGTGTCAGCACTGTGTTGAGCACCTTGGATGAGAGCGTGGCTTCAAGCTGCGCAACCCTCTCCTCCAGCCGGTGCATGTGGGCAGCGCACTGACCACTGCACACATCCCCACCATGCATAGTCGAGGGTGGTGCCACAACTGCTGCTGCTGCTGATGCTGATGCTGATGCTGATGCTGATGTTGATGCCAGTGCAATTGTTTGCGTTGTTGCCCGTGCTGCTGCTGATGAGGAAGACGAGGAGGAGGAAGACGAGTGCGATGACAGCTCAAGTGCCGGTGGCTGCGCCTGGGGCTGGTGCTGGTGCTGGTGCTGGTGCTGCAGCGGTGGTGGGTGCAGCGGGGTGTGTGGGGTGGGGCCTGCTGGTGCAGGCGCAGACGCGGCGCGTGGGAAGAGGGAGAGGGGATCTGGAAGCAGCGGGCGAGTGCGTTGGTCGAGTGCGAGTATGAGGCGGTCGTGGATGAGTCCGGGTGGTGGCGGTGATGGCGGGGACGCGAGTGGCAGCGGTGCCGGTGCAGACGAGAAGCGGTGCAGCGACGACACCGTGTGGGATGGGGTGTCACAAGCCAGAGCATCACCTGATGCGTGTGCTGCTGACGACGACGACAATGATGAGGGGAGTGTCGGCGTGAGATTGGGCTGGCTCAAGGGCACGCTGGTGTTTCTGAGCGCGAGCGACGTTGGCGCATCTCTTTGATGGGGTTGTTGGTGTTGTTGGTGTGATGCCAGAGTAGAAGGGGCATCAGTTGGGAACCCCGTGCTGCCACCGGCTGAACATGCGCTTCTTGACGCGGTGACTGCACCTGCTGTTGCAGCATTGCTCGTCTGCTGGTGCACCAAGGGAAACGGGTCCACAGCATACATGCTCGGTATCACGGGTGGCGCGCGAGGGCGGATGGCTCCAAGCAGCGGCGACTCTGGCCCAAGGTGGTGCTGGGCCATATTGGCTTGACTGGCATGAGCTACCGTGGTCGCTGCGTTTGTTGCTTGGATGCTCGTGTTGGCGGCGGTGGTGGCGGCGGTGGTGGTGGCAACGGTAGGGGTGGTGATGGTGCTTGATGTGCTCAAGTCAAAGCTGGGAAAGCTGTCCACCTGCTGCCCAAGCTGAACATGGGAGTGGGGATGGGCGTGGGGATATGACTGGTCGTGGCGTTCTTGGTGATGATGTGGGTGAGCGCCATAGTGCTGCTGGTGCTGGTGTTGAGGGTGGTGGTTGTGGTTGTGGTGCTGGCGATGGTGTTGGTGCCGGGTGTAGGCTTGAGCTGAGTGTGTGGTGGGCTGGCTGCTTGCACACGAGCCCGGCGCTGCCGTGGGCCTGGTGTCATGCATCACGTGCTGCTGCGCTACCTGATGCAGTGGTCGGGGCTGAGTGCTCGATGCATGCACGCTCGATGACAACAGCAAAGGTGCAGATGCAGAGGAGGTATGGGCTGCACTACCACCTGCATCTGAGACAGCATCAACGGCAGAGGGTCCAGAGATGGGAAACGAGAACAGGTCTGTCGTGCTGAGGGACGATGGGCTAATCAGCGCAGCTGTTGTCGTCATTGCCGAGGTGGACGTGGAGGCTGGCATGGTTAGCTCTGATGATGATGATGATGATGATGATGATGATGATGATGATGATGATGATGATGATGATGATGATGATGACGCTGTTGTTGCTGTTGTTGTTGTTGCCGTCGTTGTTGCTGCTGTTGACACCGCTGCTGTTGTTGTTGTTGTTGCCGTCGTTGTTGCTGCTGTTGACACCGCTGCTGTTGTTGTTGATGCTGCTGCTGTTGATGTCGTCGTTGTTGTTGGTGGAGGTGTAAATGACAGGGCCTGTGTGGTGGTGGTGGTGGCGGTGATGTTTGGGGCTGTGGCCGATGTTGTTGTGGGTGATGCTGAAGCAACCGGCCTCAATGCTGGTCTTTGTGCTGATGTTCCCGTTGTTGCCGGTGCTGCATTTGCAGTGTGAGTGGTTGCTGTCGTTACAGCAACAGATGCAGAGCTGGTTTGACAAGCGAGCTCCAGCGGGCTGTTGGCGGTTGTGTTGTTGGCGGTGGTGTCGTGGTGGGAGGGCGTATTTGTGTAACTGTCGCTGTGGCTGGCTGTGGTTGCATGGGTGAGGGTTGTGGACGGAGGAGTTGCAATGAGAGGATGCTCCTCGATGGGCGTGCTGTGCAAGACAGACGGCGTATCATAGGAGTGTGTTTGCTGATGGTGCTGTTGTTGTGGGGGTGGACACTGTTCGTGATGGTGCTGTTGCTGCTGGTGTGGGTGTGGGGGTGGCTGCCGGAGAAGAGGCGAAAACGGGTCTGTGAGGAAGGCATTGTCGGACGCTGTGATAGCGGTGGCAAACAGGTCCTGGTTGTCTGTGACGGGTGTTGTCAGCTCCTCCGGCGCTGCCCATTCCGAGACTGCAGCATGGCTCTGCGGGTCATGGCTGTGACTGGGATGAACGTGGTGTGCCATCGATCATGTCACAGCAACATCCACTCACGACGGCGGCACAAAAGCAGCCAGCTTCGTCTTCTTGGATGTGTGTGTGTTGTGTGTGTGTGCGTGCGCCGTATTGTGTGTGTGTGTGTGTGTGTGCGCGCGCCGTATTGTGTGTATGTGTGTGTGTGTGTGTGTGTCCGACAACAAAGGCAAATTGTACATTGCGTGGCTCAAAGGCAATTTTTACTTTGCGGGTGTGCAGAAAAGAAAAGCACAACAAGCGCGGGTTGAGATGTTGGATTGGCATGGTCAACACAGAAACAGAGCGAGGGCAGCGCAGGCCATATGGCGTGTGGGATGGAGGGGGCTCCTGATTTAGAGCTGCTTGCCAATGTAGGCAAGGAGGTCCACAACGCGGTGGCTGTAGCCAAACTCGTTGTCGTACCTGCAATGGGTGCGTGTGTGTGAGCGTGTGTGTGAGCGTGTGTGTGCGTGCGTGCGTGTGTGTGTGTGTGTGTGTGTGTGTGATGCAACTGCATGTGGAACTCAAATGGTTGTTGTACCGACAAGCGGAGACGGCGACCTACCAGGAGATGATCTTGACAAAGTTGTCGTTGAGGGCAATGCCGGCCTTGGCGTCGAAGATGCTGGAGGCGGTGCAGCCAACAAAGTCGGACGACACAACGTCCTCCTCCGTGTACTCCAGAACACCCTTCATGGGACCTGTGACAGCACAGCATGCGCGTATGCGGTGTAGAGTGAGGGGAATGAAGCCGTGTAGAGGTGCGAAGGGGGGGGGAAGAGAGGGGGAATATCACAGCACCATCAAACATACGAACCCCACTCCTCCATTTCAGTCACACACACACGTGCACGATGAGCCACACCATTATCCCCCCCCCCAAAAAAAAAAACCAACTCCTCACGGGGACGCACCTTCGGCGGCGGCCTTCATGGCCTTCTTGATGTCGTCGTAGCTGGCGGGCTTCTCGAGGCGGCAGGTGAGGTCGACAACGGACACATCCGGCACAGGCACGCGGAAGGCCATGCCAGTCAGCTTGCCATCAACAGAGGGCAGAACCTGCCACGGTCACAAACAGCAAAGGAAGACGGACGGGAGGGGTGCGTGAGGCAGCGTGGCGGTGAATTGTGTGCAAGCGGAAAAAGGGGAGAGGAATAAGGGTAGTGTGGAACAAGTACAATACAAATGGAACGACTGCAAAAATAGGGCAACCTCACACACACACACACACACACACACACACACACACACACACACACACACACACACACACACACACACACACACACACACACACACACAC